AGCATTCCTCCAAGCTTGGGCACATGTATGAATCTTGAACAACTTGGTCTGGCGCGCAATCATTTTTCTGGAAGAATTCCAATGGAAATGGGAAACTTGTCAAAGCTTCAATATCTCTCTCTAGCCGTAAATAACTTGATAGGTACGTTTAAAGTGTTGTTTGTATACATACATCTCCCAGTACACTAGATAAAATTCTGAAAATTGACCAATATTTTTGTCCCTTCACATCATAAACATCTGTTACATGCATAGTGATCTACATGTTGATGCCAGTGGAATATGCCCTTTTACATAGTCCCACTAAAAATTATGTATTTACTTACCCGTGAAACCTCAATTTTGCATTTTTTAAAATAGGTACCAATTTGGCCCATAAATTGTTCATGCAAAAGCATGTTGAAAAGTCGACCGACAATCCTATTAGATATCAAATATTTGAATCTAATATTTTGGTATTTAATTAAATGTAACTCTTAAATCTCAATCTTATTATTTGATAATAACTTTTTGAAATTTTAAACATTCGACTTTTGGATTTTAGTTTTTAATATCCTAAATGTATTCACCGGAAGAATTCCATATTAAATTGGAACTCATCAGCACCTCAATATTTATGTTTTAATATCTAGTACTTGTTAGTAAATTTGACATTCATCAATTTTAGTGTGTTGACTAACACCAAAATACAGGTACAATTCCACGTGCAATTGGCAGTTTATCAAATTTGAAGGAATTCTATATTTTTCTTAACAAGCTTGACGGTCAAATACCTAATTCCATCTTCAATCTATCCATGTTACGAATACTTTCTTTTAATAACAATAGTATCTCAGGCAACCTTCCATCATCAATAGCCAATGGGCTCCCTGATCTCGAACAGCTCTATCTTTGTTGCAATCGATTCACTGGAGAAATTCCTGCCTTTATTTCAAATTTTTCTAAGCTTACTGCATTGGAGCTTAGTTACAACTCCTTCACTGGACGGGTACCCATGGATCTTGGAAATTTGCAGAACCTGCAGATTCTAAGAATTCAAGATAATCAGTTGACAAATGATCCTTCAATGCTTGAATTGGATTTTCTCATTTCATTGAAAAATTGTAGGAAGTTGAAGATCGTACGGATGGAAAACAATCCCTTGGACGGAATATTACCAAAATCCTTGGGTAATTTGTCAGCATCTGTTGAAATTTTCACTGCCTATTATTGTCGTATTAAAAGTACAATTCCGAGTGAAATTGGGAATATGAGCAACTTGGTCGTGTTACGTTTTGATGGCAACGAATTGACAGGAACAATTCCTAACACATTGGGTCAATTAAGAAAGTTGCAAAAGCTGAGACTTGGTGTCAATAAACTATGGGGGTCAATGCCTGTCAGCCTTTGCAAATTGGTAAATCTGTATTATCTAGATCTGGGGAATAATCAGTTTTCTCAACAGCCACCAACTTGTTTAGGAAATCTTACTTTTTTGCGAGAAATTTATTTAGCTTACAACTCATTGACTTCCACCATCCCATCCACACTGTGGACAAACAAGGAAATTCAGGTTTTGGATTTAGCTTATAATTTTCTGAATGGGTCGCTGGCTCCAGAAATTGGCAACGTTAAGAGCATGAGAGCATTAAATCTATCAGGAAATCGATTCTCAGGTGATATTCCAAGCACTATAGGACAACTTCAGAATTTGGAAAATCTAACATTATCAAACAATCAATTGCATGGTCATATACCCGAGTCATTTGTTAATCTGATTTCATTGCGAATTCTGGATCTATCGGATAACAAACTCTATGGTGTAATCCCCAAGTCATTGGAGAAACTTGAGTACCTTAAGTATTTCAATGTTTCTTTCAATGAACTCATTGGTGAAATTCCAAATGGAGGGCCTTTTAAGAACTTCACATCAGAATTTTTCATAGGCAATATGGAATTGTGTGGTGCATCTCAATTTAAGGTCGAGCGATGCAATGATAAAAAAACTAGATTATCAAGCAATACCAAAGTTTTGAAGTACATTTTACCATCAATTGCTGTTGTATTGGGTTTGGCCATTATTGTGGTTTATTTAATAAGGCGTCATGGCAGAAATACACTTCTTCCAGCTCATTCTACTCCCCCCTTCACCGTCAGGAGGATTTCATACTATGAAATTCTAAATGCTACCGATAAATTTGGTGAAGAGAATCTGATTGGCAAAGGCAGTATTGGTTCAGTGTACAAGGGAATATTTTCAAATGGAATGATTGCTGCTATTAAGGTTTTTGATCTTGATTTGGAAGGTGCAAACCAATGTTTTGATACTGAGTGCCAAATTATGTGCAACATTCGTCACAGAAATCTTGTCAAGGTAATTAGTAGTTGCTCTAACCTTGATCTTAAAGCCTTGATATTGGAATATATGCCTAATGGAAACCTTACCAAATGGTTGTCCTCAAGCAACTATTTCCTAAATATAGCTCAAAGATTGGAAATAATGATAGATGTGGCATCTGCGCTCGAGTATCTACATCATGGGTATCCCTCTCCAATTGTCCATTGTGATTTGAAGCCCAACAACATACTTTTAGATGAAAATATGGTTGCCCATGTTGCTGACTTTGGCATTGCTAAGCTTTTCACTGAAGACCAAAGAATTTTGCTGACAAAGACTTTGGGCACCATTGGATATATGGCTCCAGGTAAATGGTTTCTATGAACTACTTATGTAAATGTATTCGTGTATTATTGGTTCTCATTTAATTATTTGCCATTTAACATTTCACTTGTTAATTTGATCACAAGTGCGAATTTTGTAGAGTATGGATCGACGGGATTAGTATCAACTACGGTGGATGTTTATAGCTATGGGATTATGCTGATGGAGACATTTACCAAAAAGAAGCCAACTGATGATATGTTTGTTGGAGAGTTCACAATGATAAGATGGGTGTTCGAATTATTCCCCAATGCAATAATGCAGATAGTGGATGTCGATCTAGTGAACGCAGTTGAAGATAATGTTCGAGCCAAAGAGAGTTGCTTTAGATCAATCATGGGACTAGCACTAGAATGCACGGCTGAGTTACCTAATGTGAGGCTCAATATGAAAGATGTTCTAACAAGGCTTGTGAAGATCAAAATTGAATTTGTTAAGCATAACAGAGGCAAATTAAGGTGAAGAGGTTTGTTTCTTCTATAACTTTGTTTTTTCCATCTCGTCAGAACACAAAAAAGATTAATATTAAAAGTAAAACCTATTTTCAGTTTTAATTCTCTTAGAATCCAGGCTTCATATTGACTACTCTTCTAAAACATACTTGATCTCTCATAATCTTATTCTTGTTAGTTGTTAGTAGGCCTGGGCCCAAAAACTGGAACCCGGTAACCCAACCCGACCCCGACCAAACCCAATAGGGTCGGGTCGGTTTTTAAAAAATTAAAAATTATTGTAAGTATATGCATCTGTCTCTCCCTTTGATTTTTTTTTTCTTGCTTTATAACCACATTATGTACTGGAAAAGTTTTACCAAACTCTGTCTTCTCCATTTTCCTTTAGTTGAAATGAAGTTGAAACATACGTTCCATGGACACTTTCTTTGTCGCATTTTTTCGGAATAGTCTTTCTTTGTCATTACAGATAATGAAATCTAACATTTGATCCTACTGTATCATTTGCATCTTATGGTCTTAATGAACAGGAAGACTGTCATGCGAAATCTTGAGGGAAAAGAAGTTTAGTAATTGGTTGGTCAATAATTATTATGTCGATCACCAGTAAATTATTGAACCAAGCCAAATTGCAAGGCAACAGAATGCAAAAGATTCTGCTGTGTAGCGTACATCTAGGCAAATAAACATGCAGGCTCTATGTGTTGGAATTACATATTTAAACACATCCAACATCAGGTTATCAATTCAACAGATCAGCAGCCTATTCACCAGCTTATCAGATTCAACAGATCAGCAGCCTATTCACCAACAAACTCAGCTAGCTCATGTTCAACATGCTTACAGCTCCTTCCAGATTCTTCTAATCACATGCTCACCAATCACCAGCTTATGAGAGCACACGGCCAGCACATGCAACTTATTCTAGATCCTTCATTAGTTTGTTAGTTTGTTAGATTTAGTCTATAAATAGAGAAATGTAATTCCATTATCAATTGAGCTTGATGAATGAATAAATAAATTCTCCTATCATCATCAGTTCCTTCAATATATTGTTATATTGAATTCTATCATTTTATTTTCTCTGCATCTATGTTTAATTTCTGTTCTGTTCTGCTTATGCTATTAATCGTTCCTGCACTTTTTTCTCTTTCTGCTACTGGTTGATTGCTGGTTCATGATTTCTGCTGGTTCTGTTCTTGCTAATTTCAGTTTCTCAACACTATGTTCTTTCAAACCAGCAACGACTATACCGTATCTTCTTTACCCTTTTAATTCATGAACAAAAAGCTGCTATGGAGTGTCATCAACTCATTTTAAATTTCTACTTTCTTTAATTACTTCATGTCATCATGCAAATCTTGGCTTCCCGTGTCTAGAATTAGCTGTGCCTCTATCATTAGAAAAGTTTTTGAAACTGGAACCTGAATTATAATTATTGAATCAATGCACAAATTGATTGTGTGAAACTTTATAAATTGATTTTGTGAGACTTTACTCCCGCTATCCATGAATTATTCCATCCATGTTTTTTGCTTTGTGTGTCAATAATTTAGAGTTGACTTCTCCCATGACTCTGTTTGTAAGAGAGCGCGAAGCTAAGGCCCCGTTTGTCTCCTATTATTCCAAAACATTGTTTGCTACAGTAAAATTCTCCATTACACATTCACCCAATAAAATATTCTACACACAAACCAACACTACAACAAAAATAGCATTTTGTTAAACGTTGTCGAAGACCTTTTGCCAGGGACGGACCCAGCGTCGAGACTCAGCTCGGGAGGACGTTAACGGATCAATGTCGACATTTTTTTCCACCGCTCCTTTCAGCTACGAAACAGCACAAGTTATTCATGCATTTCCTCCTCCTCCTCCGTAGCTGCCAACGCCACCTCTTCTTCCAGCAGCGTCGCACCCTCTACGACTCCGTAGCCTCCATAAAATGCGTCCGGGACCGGGACCTAGACCACGCAGTAGAACGGGGAAAGACACGTCAAACCCATTATCAACCTCAAAAATCTTATAATTTTATAGTGCTGCGAGGGATCCCGAAATCCACTAGCAAATGACTGATTTTGTAAGACTACAAATCTGATATAATACTTGATGACTTAATGAAATTCAATTAAACTTTCGCAATATTCCCTCTAAGCAAAAATGCATTCAAGAAAAGGAATAGACTATCAAGCTTAAGTGAAAAACATAAAATCGGGACGTATTTTCTAGATAAGTTAGTTACCACTTCACCAGGTTTTCTTTTGCTTATTCTCTCGACATCCACATGGCACACATTTGATAATGTATGAACTCCCGCATCCTAAACATTAATTAATTCAAATGCCATAAGAAAAACAAATGTAATAAAAACTAACAATTCCTCAACCGTGATATATCCAATTTCAATGGGTGATTTTAAAAAACAAAATTAAGCCTTAAAAAATAGAATTTCAATTGACAATCAAATGCATACATATACATACCTCGTCCATAAAGGAGACTTCCAGTATTACAATTGAAGATTTTAAACCCATTCCTTGTTCCAATTGCAAAGCAGCTAACCCAAAATGAATTTTACATCCATTTAATTCAGACAAAGAAATAATTTCGAAATCTGTAATGGGTGAGGAGAACCTGAGTTGTGGGTAAGGATCAGGGATGGAGTCGTCGCCTGGTTGAGGATCTCTTCCCTGTAATCGTTTAGGTCTTTTAGGAGTTTTCTGGAATCGGGAATCAGGGGGTTTGGAGTTTTGGAACGTAATAATTACGTGGTTAAAGGTTTAATCAGTTAATAAGGTATTATTCAAATCCTTTAATTTTGGAAAGTAATTGGTCTAGGCTGGGTAGCAAAGGATAAGTGTTGGGTTGAGCAGCAAAGGCCCAATGTAATAATAAAAAAAAAAAAAACCAGATTACAGAACTCCAGAAAGGAGGAAGACGAACCAGTCCCCGGCGGAAGAAAGGTGACGGCGCCTCGCCCAGTCGCCACTTCTTCCCAAAAACTACTTCGGTGGAGCCCAGCACGCACGGCCGACCCCTGGCCGGGTGCTGGGTCCGTCTCTGCCTTTTGCAACGTTTGGACGTATGTTGCAAAGCTCAATGTTGTCGTAGAATAGAAGGATACGGCATAACCTTTTGCAGCGTTTTTTTAACGTTGCTAATAACTACTTTTTGCAACGTTTTTTGAACGTTGCTAATAACCACTTTTTGCAGCGTTTTTTGAACGTTGTCGTAGTTTTTTTTTTTACAGCAAGTTATGCAAATTGATTGGCAAAATTGAAAATGACTCTGTATGAACAAATTTTGGAATTGCATAAAAATTGATAATTTCATTAGAAATGTTTGAATCCATATACTTGAACATTATAATGTGATACAACACCACCTAAATAAAAAGGAGCTTCAAAATGAAATAAAATTACGAATAAAATTTTGGCACTACTTAGGCATGAATAACTTCTTGCCACGCTTGCAACACTAAGCTTCCGAATAATACTCTAATGGCAAGAAGTGGAGCTAGACCTGCAAATGATGAAACGGAAAATTATTAGTCAAATTAACAATCTTTAAGAAATCAAGATTTACCAAAGACAAGGGAACAGGCCCTGTAAATGAATTGTCCCTCAAGCTCTCCATATTCTTCAAGCCCGAAAAATCAGGCAATGGACCAGAAAATCCATTACCATGAAGCCAAACCTCCTTCAAAAATGTCATATTTTGTATAACACCAAGTTTCTGCCCATTTAGCCACAGAGACTCGATCTGGGAACCCAAAAAACTTGAGGGTAACTCCCCTTCCAAGTTATTGAGAGCCAAATGAAAGTTTGTTAAACCAGGAAACTCATCACCTCTTAAAAATGCTGGAATTTTCCAGTAATATTTGCGGAATTAGCCAAAAAATTCTAAAGTGTAGAAGCATTTTAAAGGCTTTCCGGGATTTCCCAAGCAGAAAATGGATAATTATCAATCTCAACAGATATCAAAGAAGACATGCCAGTAAAAAAATCAGCAGGAATGGAAATAAACTGATTGTTACTAAAAAAATCAGCAGGAATGGAAATATATGAAGCCCTTTTGGCCGCTCCATTTGATCCAGAGCTATCACTACACCAAAATCAAATGAAACCAAATTTGTACTTCACAGAAAGAAAGAGGCATGTGTTTGTCAATAAAGTAGAGCACATCCTGAAAGAAGCAAAAATAAGATAATTTGTTCACACCGTTTATCTCTAATTGTCATGTTTAATTCGTTTTTTCCCTCCTCTTAGGTAATTCTGAACATTTGCAAAAGAATTATATTAGATAAACACAACTATTTATTCATCTAGAACCGCAAATCTGAAACAAGTACCTAGTTGTAGTTCACCTAGTCACATTTCCAATGAATTGAATCCAGTACCAGTCCCTATTTTTCCAACCCAATATCAGCAAAGTAAAATCGTAAACAGTTACTGCAAGAGTTCAAACATTTATGGTCAACAAGAAGTATATTAGTATGAAAATTGCTCGCCTATTTTCCACTATCCAATGTGGACTCAGCAAAGATTTATTTATCATTTGGAGTAGCATGGTGCAGGTAACCATTGTACTTATTTCCAGACCAGTCCCTCAACATCCAGCATAATTGTCTTCGGCACCGCATTCTTCAATCCCAAGTGCGCCACAACATCCACAAAACGCTTATGGAGTTGCGGAGTCCAAACAAGCCTCGGCCTCTTCAGAGTCTTCGCCGCCGCTGACTGGTCATCGTACAGTTGTCGGTGGTGGCTGTTTGAGTAACAGAGTCAGCCTCCTCAGGCTCCATCCTCCAGAATTTCTTCAGGTCGGATCCTTCTTGGGTTGGGTACGCGTCTTCCNCAGAATTTCTTCGGGTCGGATCCTTCTTGGGTTGGGTACGCGTCTTCCATCTCCGGCTCCTCTATGCCGTGGCCCTGCATGGAGGCCGCGTTTTGATAATTATGATTGTTTAAAAATGGCTTGAAGGTGGAGGAAGGGTGGGAATCGCCGCCGCAGAGGGAAGACATGGTGTTCTTAGAAGCTCGGTTGACATCAAGCATGGATCAAGTAGGCTCCGGCGGGATCAGAGCCTGGGACAACGATGTCAGATCGTCGACGGCCGGCAAGCGAGAGAATCACAGAAGGGGGGATGGCGAGAGAATTTAGTGTTTGAATTAATTTGGATTTATTCAATTTAAGCCCATATATAACTTAATTTCTGTTCGTTTTTCGCAATGTTTATTAAACGTTGCGAATCCAAAAGATTTGCAACGTTTAAAAAACGTTGCGAAAAGTATACATTAACAACACTTAAAAAACGTTGCGGAAAGTTAGTCTACAAAAGTAATTTGCAACATTTCAAAAACGTTGCGATAAGTTTACATTTTTGCAACGTTCATTAAACGTTGCAGAAAGAGACTTTTCATAACATTTAATAAACATTGTAAAAAGATGGCCTATTGAAACTTTTTGCAACGTTTATTAAACTTTGCAAAAAGGTAAACTTTTTGCAACAGTCAATAATCGTTGTAAAAAGTGACATTAGTAACATTCATTTTAAAAATGTTGTCAAAACTTAATTACATTAACTAATTACAACATATACTTACTAAAATGTTGCAAAAAGACCCTTTTAGCAACATTTATCAACAAATGTTGCATTTTAAGTGTTGCAAATGATCATTTTTAGTGTAGTGCAATAAGGTTACTTTAAATTTCAACTACACATTCTCCAAAAAATATTATTCATTACTCAATTTCTTCTACAATAATGGGAAACAAACACGTACCAATGGAACATTTTGATTATGAAAAAATTAATGAAAATTTAAATGGATCATGTGGGATTTTTAATTTTACTCATATCAGTAGACCTCATTTCCCAACTATTTTAATTTAGTAAAAACAACAGTTCTAAAATTAAGGAAACTGAAAGATATATCAAGCTTTCTGGAATTGGAAGAGCTTAATCCTCAGTTTTATGTTGTTCAATACAATACATGTTGACCTCGTTTTTTATAGGGGTGATGTGGCCAACAGGTCTCGGGTCCTCGCTCGCCCACGTAAGCCTTTGTCCTGCACACTAGGACAAACCATGAGTCGCACGAAGCCAAGTCAGTCGGTCAATGTATGAATGAAGGGGGAGGCGGCCGTACACACTCCGATGGTCAAGTCAGTCCATATATGAATGGAGGGGGTGTGGGACGTGCTTAAGACATGAGCCACTAGGTATTCAAGGAGTCGAATCTGGGAGGGTCAGCCTCAACATGCAACTCGACCCTCCGCTCATTTGGCCTCGATTTAGGTTTTCCATTGCCTCGGATTAGGCAAGATGACGTGGAGTGTGGGCCCTAGGGACTTTGTTTAGTGGATTGCCACGTGGCTGACGAATAGGCGCCTTTTTAGAAGAGGTGTAACAATACATTTCAATGAAATTTCTAATTGGGTATCAGCAGTCTTGTGTATGACGCAGGTCTTCAAAATAGATGGAAAACCATGTATCATAACAGAAATTATACGCATATGCTGGGAGTATCTTGTTACTGCTAGGCAAGGACAATTTTGTGAAATAAAATTAACAGTGACTGGATGCCCAAACAGTGAACACATAAATGGATCCATCATAAATCATTGATAAGTAGATTTGCAAATCCAAAGATTATCTTAACATTGCAAATGCAAATTTTTACAAAATAAATAAATAAATAAATAAATAAAAATGGAATTTAAAATATATTCTGCAAAGTTCACCTTGAGCTAGATATTTTTCATAGCAGCTGTCACCTTCAATCAGTTATACTCCACCCTAGCGCACCTCGGGGGAAAACTGGGCGAAGAAGGAGGAAGTTCTTCATCCTCGGATTGAATTATAATAAAGCCTTCTTCTCTTGCATCAGAACCAACATTAGTCCTACCACTTCTGGAAATCCTTAATTTATCACACCATGTCAATTATTGGGTGGTGCCATCTGACTCAAAAAGTCGCACTGGAATATTCAGTCTGGCTTCCCCAATTATCATGGTATCCTTACTCCAAGAAATCTCATATCTTCCATTCTCTCATGTTACACAACGTGGCGGATCTTGATCCATGCCAAATTGCATGTGCACATGATGTGAGACATTGCTTAACGCACTCATCTTCTAGGCTAACAAGTTCGGTCGGTCTCAGACATCGCACAAGCTCCTCAAGTTCATCATCTGAACCAGATTGAATTAATTCCCAGTAATATTTTCCTTTTAAACCATATGAGGGAAGAAGTTGTTTGCAGCCCTCATGTAAGCGTGCCAAATAAAATCTTCTTGAATGCCATCTAGTTCCAATAACACTTCAATTTCTTCACCCCCACTTCCTTTAAGCCATGTCATTGAGCCACTCTTTTCCCACCAAATCCAATCGAATTGGGCTTGGGACATACTGTTGGAATCTCTCCCAAACCCAAGCCTGCACCAGTTGGAAAGGGGCTGTAACCTTAACTTCAAAAGCTTTCTTCTGTCCATGTCTAGTTCTACATTTTTCTGAAGTAACAAGGATGCCTTTTACTGTACTCTAATTTCCATAAATGTCAGCAAGAACAGCCGGTGCAAGTGCCAAGTTTTGTACTTTTAGCTAATCTGACTTCAATGGGCAGAGCAGCTTTGCTTATAGTGTCGCGTCCATATAGAAAAACAAACACTGATATCAAATAATTAAATCTTCTATTTGCTTATTCGGTTGTGTCCATATTGGCTGTCATAGTTCTTTGTTCCATATGGATGTGACAAAATGAACAAAGCTTATTTTCCCATTGCGGTCAGTTTAGCAATTCTTTCTGACATTTATAGAATTCTGAGTACATATTGAAAGGTTCCATGATCAATTTGATTGGGTTTGGTGGGCCAAGATTGGCTCAATGGCATATCATAAAAGTAGTGGGAACGAAGAAACTAAAGTGTTATTGGCACTAGATGGAGCTAAAGAAGATTTTAATTGGCCCCCTTACGTGAGGGCTGCAAACGACTTCTTACCTCAAATGGTTTACAAGGAAAATTATTATTGGGAATTACTTAAATCTAGTTCAAGTAATGAATTTGAGGGGCTTGTGAGATGTTTGAGACCTAGCGAGCTTGTTAGTCTAGAAGTTGACTGCATTGAGCAATATCTCCCACATTGCCATGCAATTTGGCATAGGTCAAGATCTTCCAGGTCCTGTAATGCGAGAGAATGGAAGTTTTGAAGATCGCTTGGAGTAATTATACCAATGCAATTGGGGATTCCATATTGTACATACCAGACGACTTTTTGAATCAAATGCCACCACGATACTTGGCATTGTGGGATAAGGTTGGTTCCAATGCAAGAGAAGAAGGCCTTGTCAAAATTCAATCCAAAGATGGATAACTTCCTCCCAAGCGCTGGGGTGCAGTTGAACTCATTAAAGGTTACAGCTGCTATGAAAAATATCTAGCTCAAGCTTCTACGTTGTATTTATCTCTTAACATATGTGATTTAATTTACAAATATGCTTTCCATGTCGCAAATTTGTTAACATATGTGATTTAATTTACAAATATACGTGCATTCCTTGCTAGCATATACAAGGATTTGGGATCATTGAAAGAGTCTCTTGATGTTGCAAGTGTTGGAATGGGGATATTTAATCATCACACTAGGAAATCGATTTTCCTATTGACGATTCAACCCAAATGCATGGTGGATCTTTAGATCACCTTGAGATCATTGGAGTTTTATTTTAAATCCTAACACGTAAAGGGTAAGATGATAACCTCAAAGGAGATTTCAATAGTCTAGCCAAATGCTTCCTCCCTTAGGTCTTCTCCCTTGTGCTCCTTAGGTGCCTCTCCTCACTTTGAGAGAATGAAAATGGCTAAAACCCTAAGGGGCTGTTCTCTTTGTGTTTGAATTTTGTGTTTTGAATTCATTTT